GATTCACTATTTTTAACTCTGTGCACCAGGCTTTTTTTAATTACTTTTTTCTATTACAATATTGCAACTAACCAGTGATAACACTTGAAGCCAAAAATAAATTGAAATATGAATAATGTTTGAGTCTATGTATATAACTATCAGCTCCAGGAGATAGTGAGAGAAATTCAACCTGCAAGTTTCTAACGCAACTGTTAAGTGCTTGAGGTGAATGCCACTAGAGAAAAAAAATGTTTCAAAAAGTACTATCTAGGATAAAATTATTCAGTTTCAGTTGAGATTCGGTCAGGGATTCAGTCAACAAATAAGCACATTAAAACAAATTTCAGGGTGGTCGAGTGGGGCAGTGGTAACTCACACGCCTTTCACCTAGCTGTCCAGGGTTCAATTCCCAGAATGGATGTGAAAAGGTAAAGGGTCACCTGCCCAACCATGGGGATTTCTACCTGTGTTCCAGTTTTCTCCCACAATAAGACCCCTCATGGGCTTACATCCAGGCCAAAAAGAGTGATCAGTATAGCTGAAATAACTTATTTTGCAATTATTGTAAAATAAAGTTAATATATTAAAAAAAAATGATAAGATTAAACAAAATTTCAGATTAAACATTCAGTACAGCTTATTTATACTGAATTTAGCCTAAAGGTTCATCATCTTAGCACTGTCAGGTTTTTGACCAGAGATTTATTTTCTTCTTTGCCAATGCTTTACAGCCAAAACAAAGGGACTGTTTTCCCTAGCAAAAATGTGTGTTATTTTCCCTAAATGAAGCAAAGTCCAATAGTATTTTCCCAATTTTTCAGAAAACCTTACTATATTTTTCAATTTTATGAGGCTCAAGCTGCTGTAAATCAAGTAAGAAAAAACACTGACAACACAATAAAATTGTTTTGTTTTAATTTTTCACTGATCAGTAAGTTTCATTTAAAATAAATAATATTTTATTTCATCACATAAGCTGCCTGTTATCCGGTGAATTTGCCCATATAATATTTTTTGCATGTTGCCGATTGTGATATAACCTTGTGCTTTTCTCATTGGCTGTGCAAGTCAAACATTGATTGTGATGTCATAACATAGATAATGATGTTATATCCTAAACTGAAAATGGCACAACAAATGGCTATGTTTGATTCTGCATCCACATTTTGACTTCAAACCTGTAAAAATCTAACTTTTCTGAGTTAAGAGATAAGAAGTATCTTAAATTCATCAAGACTTGCAAAATACAAAACTACTGTGCCTTGTTTGTTTAAAAACTACATCCTTCATAGATCCTACACATAATAAATGGGGAATATAGCAGAGATAACATGACAATCTTAAGATTTAAGGGTTTTGTACAGTTGCTATTGCTTTCAGTTAAGGTAAGACGAGTTTTCCAATAGCAATACAAATTACATACAAAAGATAGTATGCCAACTTGATACCCTCTTGTTGTATAATTCCCTTTACAGTCGACCTGAGACCCAGGAGGAAGCAACTATACTAAACCTCTACATCACTTTGACACAAAAGGTCCAGGTTTTACACACTGATACCATCAAACAGGTTTTCAAAAGAAGTAAGGCTTCATAAGACCATGACACATCGGGGCTTCAATTTCTTAGCTAACTTCAGAAAATTCCTTTCTTAAAATTCACTATCAGAACACTTAGTTTAAAGGGTTATAAACTTATACAGTATCTTTTTATATCAACTCAAATATAGGATATATGTATAACTTCATCATATGGAAATTGAGAACTGTAGTCTAAGGTTATTAAAAGTTTCAAAAGAGATGAAATGCATGGATCAGTTTTACAGAAGATTTGAAATTGACATTTACTCATTCACAGCATGTACAAATTAGTTTTAACACCAGGTATTTTTTATACAATATACTGCCTTGGAGTCATCCAAAAAAAGCTTTAATCTTATAGGTATTTTGTAAGAATTTGTCAGTTTAGCAAGGGAGATAAGTCAGCAAGGATAAAGATCACTGACACAGAAATATCAAGAGTTAGGGAACACATTTATTAAAAGAAGTTGTTAGAATATTTAAACTAACACAAACAAAGTCTGTGACCTTCAAATTAGGTCAAGGTCATACATTTGATCAGACTTGGTAGCCTATTTTGAAACATTTATTTCTACTGTTATGTTATGAGAACTTCTATTCTATAGACTTGGTAGCCATTCTGGTCAGTGAACTCATAAAGCAAAACACTAAGGTAATGAGTTACATGAGCTGCTAAAGTTATATCATTGTAAAATAATTTTTCACCATGTCTATGTATAAAATCAAATCTAAGCCCACATGATTGTGATGTTGCAAGAACTGATGTAGCAACAAAACAGAAGTTTCTGTAAGGAAGTAATAGGTTTGATCAGAGCTTGATAAATCTTGTGGCTACAATAATTCTACAGCATAACGCAACATACATCAGGGAAAAAAATAAAACAGTTGTTTCATCTTTCAAAACAATTCATCATAAATGAAGCAATTCAAAAATATCTTTGTTTTCTTGTTGGATTTTTTATATCAGATTTTTTTATTTCAGGTTTTTTTTCTCCATGCATCATTTTTATTTTATTATCTCCCAGATGCATCAGCGAGAAGCTTGAATGGCATCAGTTTTAGACAAAAAATGGCATGGTTTGAGCCTTCTGTCAAGTTTCAGAAGATGTACGCACTCTAGCATCCACCTCACTATTATATGAAAATACATTCTACAATATTTGATCATTTAATAATACCAATGGCAGACATTTAAGACATTCTTGTCCACTTATAACCTGTTACAACGATGGTGAAAACAAAGTACTTGAAACCTCACAGAATTGTATCAGGCAGCATGCTTAACTGCTTTATTATGATATAATTACAACACCATATGCATGACCCTTCACGGGTGGCATCCCAGTTTAGCATATAAACAAATTTACAAATGAAATGAGAGATTTGTTTTTGTGAACAAAATCACGTCTCCCTTTTCAAATAAATATGTAGCTTGGTTGCTTTGGTAGTGGAATGGGATGAAAAGAAAATATATTCCTGTTCTCAATCATTAATTTTATTCAAATTGTTTGTTACTCTTAACAATGTTGGTAAGTTTTGGTATAGAAAAGTATATAAACTGATTATAGCTATTATTGCATATCAAATATTCATTATATTATATATCTATTAGATGAACTGTTGTTTTGACTTATCCTCTCTCAATACCTCTGTATCTACAGAACATTGCACTGTTACTGAAATCTTTTAAAAAAATGTTTTAATACTTTGGGTATATTTCAACAATGTTACAAGTTGGGTCATGCCTTGAATAAATATTTTGGTCTTTGACCTTAAGGTCAATGTCAAAGTGACAGTGTATTTCATCTTGAGGTGATAAAATTGAATACCAACATTCACTAATGGATCCTGTACAGGTTCAATATTACCACTAAAACTAGAAATCATTTGAAAATTCACACTTATTTGACCTTGATGTCAAGGCCACAGTGAACTAACTGCAGTGCATGTTTTTTGTTTTAAAGTCTAATATGCTGTCATTTTTAACATACGTTTAAAAGCAAAAACAAAATGTTCTTGATCAGAGTGAAAAAAAATGGTCCTACCTATCTACCTACCCTATTTTCCCTACCTACCTTTCGTACCTACCTACCTACTCATGGCAATACTTGGTAGCTAGAGTCAGTTAAGGGAAAAACAAACTTATTTTTAATGCTAACCATACATTTTGCAGATATACAACAAAAGAGTATGCCGTTGCCAATCATTAGCTACATTTGAAACTTGTTGTCTCAACATCACTCGAGTCCAAATAATGTTCAAGTCCTGATTTTTTTCCTTCTGTATCTTTGTAGTTTTAGCTCAGATGACTAAAATTTCATTGAGCCTAAATTTTGGTTGAGTCAAAGCGAATTTTCAGTCCCTACAATTGTAAAGTAAGGGAAAAGTCATTTGTAGTCTCGAAAGTAATTTTTGTCGAAATATCTCCACGTCTTGACAAAATCGGTCAATACATACATAGTAGAAAGTCACATGTGTGTAACACATAACTAAGAATGTGTATTGGTCCATCGTACACACAACGCTCAGTTTCTGGCAATTAATTACCAATTTAATTATCCAATTAAAGGTTGGCTTCTTAATTAGTGTCACCATCCTGTAGCGATGACTTATCTGTACATTAAAAAAATAGTGCGTTTACACAAAATTTGAAAATATTTAGCTAGGTTGCGTGTATCTTCATAAACGATAAAAACGAAACAGTCAAACCAGTACAAACTTTTTGACGAAATCTGATCCCCATAGTTCAGATAGAAACTAATTTTGAGCTTGTTTACTAAAGTACTGTGATCAAGCACTTTGTCAGATCTAGTCATACTGAAATGATCTGTAGCTTCATACATTGTTTCTTGTAGCCAATGAAAATCAAACTTAAATTTCATTTTATTGCCATTCCCTAAAGCATATGATGTATATGTATGTGCTTGGTCAGTATGGGTATTGTATCCATGTGTGGGATGGAACGACTTGAGTACAAATGTATTTGATCGAGTTGTTATTACATGTTTTGTTTAGATGAATAAACAATAAAACGAGAAAGTAGAAATAAATTTAATTGTTTATTTAATACCATTTCAAATAACAGATTAAACTACACTGTTTTCACGCTTTAGAAACCCTACTTCGTTCGACTGTAATCAATGTCAGGAAACTGATATTGTCATCATTATTGATACATTTTGTTTGAGTCGAAATTTGAATAAGACAAAATATTTTCCACTGCCCCTTGAATTTTGAGATAACTAGAGTTGACTGTACCTCCAACCTCCAAATCACAAAGTGCATGTAAAGCTATATGGCTGAAGTATTTGAAAAAAACTTATAAAAATGAATTTTGTTTCAAATTGTATAGGAAATGTTTCAGTGGGTGACTGAAATTTAGAGTCAGTAATCAATAATTGTAATACATTAATGGTTGACAAAGTTGTAAGAAACTTACCACCATGTCTAGGAAACTGATGGCTTTGGCAAGTGTGGGTGTTCGGGAACAGTACATACGAAACAATTCACGTCCAATGGGCTGTTGTTCCACAACATAGTGATACGACTGAGCTGCAAAAAAAATTTCAATATTACAAAAAATCATTTGTATATCTGGACGTTATTTTTTAAATCAATTCTACTGGAGACTACCATAGTTTTTCTTATTTCTGATATCTCAAATTGTGATATACATTCATTTTACTAATCCCTTAACTTGTAAGTTCTATGTCAAGGTTTATTAATTATTTTTCCTTGACTTAGACAAAAAAAGGATGGTTTGATAAACCTTCTATTACATCCATTTTTCAAACAATTCTAATTCCTTCTCACAAAAGTTTTATACAAATGAATGAACCGGTAAAATTTAAGACTGAAATAAATACTTACAAATTTTATTTTTTATATCCATACATCCTGTTATATGAGGAAATTTCAAAATTTGTTTCCATTTTTTGCTTTTTCCTTTCCGCTTTCCACCACCACCTGCAATTATAAGAAAGAAATTGTAAAGGTCTTGATGGACATTGAATAATATAAGTTATTTTTACAGTTAATTTAATTTCATCACAAAGAACAGTTCCCATGATTTATACAGCCATGCTACATGCATTTCACTTCTTGTGAACACTGTGTAGTAAAATAATCAGTGGTTATCCACATGAACACAACATAATATTAACCATTATGCTCATCTTCAGACAAAACTAGGGACTTTACCCGATTAATAATCGACAATACAATGAATATATCCCATATCCTATAAAGAGATGTTGAGATAAACTATGGCCTATAGTGACCAATGTTTTAACAAAATCTAACAAAAACTTTATTAGTGGTGGGGGTAAGGTTGGTTATAAATCTGTTTCATAGAACTTGGAAAGTTGATATCCAGTAACTGTTTATCTAATTAAAAGGATTTTCCTCAATAGCATGTGTACACCTGTAAAATCCACATGAATACTTTTGTCCTGACGACAGTAACCATTGACTATGGTATGTTGAAGTCCTCGTTTGTAAAAGTTGTTACAAGTGTAAGTTAAAGTCCATACAAGAAAAAGAAAATGAAGTTTGTCTCTTGGTCACAGTCCAAAAAGAATCAATACTATCTAAATACAAGATGGTTTTTATAAATAAAGATATACAGCCTTCAATGGTGCTAATTAACAATTAGCCATGAAATATCTGGTGATGTGTTAATTACTAATGTCCATACCAACGGAAATTTTACATTAACAACTGCTAAGTTATTTATCATGTCAAGTTCTATACACAAGCATGTTTTCCCTAAGAAAATTTATGAGGACATTTGAATATTTAAAAAGCTTTTATTTCTATTAAACCTCATAGCAACAGAGAAATAGACATCTTGGGATATGTTTCATGCTATTTATCCTGTTATAAGTCTAGGAGATTAACATGAAATATCAAACTTGGAGAAAGGCAGTGTACTTGAAGGAGGACACTAAAAATTACACATTTATTTCATATTTTAAATGATCATCATGAATTGTAATAATGTGTGCTTATTACTCTACCAAGAATGGGCTTATTGTTGAATAAATACAATAAGTATAAAAACATTACTTTATTCTTTTTTCAAACAATCTTCAGCCTTAATGCCTTATTTCTGACAAAATACATGTTGCTATGTACGTATGCAGCATTTGAGTATCAAGCATGTAAATTAATATACATCCGACACTTTTAATTTCACTCTGACCTACAATGTCAGCAAAAAATATGATTCGTCCTGGCGCTGAAATTACATCACCTTACAGATGGCTTTTAGAGACATAAAAAAGAATTAAGCTATAAGTGTGGGAACATGCAGCATCTATTCTCTAAGCACAAGAACAATTTAGTGACTATTTGAAAACCTTGACAACAATCAACTGCTAATGTGTAATAATTGAAAAATGCACAATGTTATTTGAGATATTGTACAATGATGACATATATATATGTAAAATATTAGTATTCATTTGCTCAAGTAGGAGACAATCCAGTCTATATGTTTACAATACAGTAGCAGTTGCAACCCAAATGACACCTGCGTATAACAAAAAAGTACTACAAATAGCATGATTTATAGAGAAGGGACAGTTTTTGCCTCGCAAAGGAACATGTAGGCGATCTTTCTAGAACAATACACCTGGAATATGTTGTACCATGATGCATGCTCCTAGCCAGGTTAGGCAATTCATGCACCATAAAATACAACACAGTATATATGGCATTTATGTTAAATCAGTCATGTGGTCTCCTATATACACCATACAAGGCAGGCAAATCTATTCCCTGATCAGTGTAATCAACTTCAGTAGAACTAGACCTGGAGCCAACTCTATTTAGCATGTTATATTTAAATTTGTACTAAGCGCAAATATATCCACCTGTGCAATTGGGATCAGAGCTAGTATGTCTGTTTGCTATAACCACCATTCATCATTTTTTCAGTAGGATTTACTTAAAAGGTAAAACCTACCATTTCCTTTTATTTGAGAATGAATTTTTAATAAAGTCATAGAGTAATGTCCGCAAGGTATCATTTCTATAATTTCTTTCATTTGTTAATTATCATTGTTTAATAATCTGCAATTCTGAATTCAATTTTCACAATATTTGAATCACATTTTTTGTTTAAAAGTCTAACACTATACACACCTACCTACCATAATGAATCATTTATTGAACAATATTATTGTTTGATTATACCCATCCATCAATTTAATATTTCCTGAAATTAGAAATTGAAGGGCATGTCCACAGGGCATTATTACATTATTGAAAAAACTCACATTTCAAATATATATATATATATATACTGGTAATTCCATATCAATCAATCCATACAGGAAATATCCATTTAATTAAATTTATTACTGTATCTGAAAGTGTAGTTTCAATTTCCTAATTGCTGTACAGTTGAGAAATACCAGCCCTGAAATTGCCTTCACAGAAAAAGGTCTTAATAGTAAAGAAATTTCAACATAGTTGACCTACTAAGAATAAGACAAATCTTAGCTAGAACTATTTAACTACAGTACAAAAGATACTACATATCTTCCACAACACTCCCAATGGCATTCACCTATCTCCTGTCATCTAGATTCCAACAATTACAGCAGCACATCCGCAGGACAAAATCAGAATAAATTACCATGAATTGACACTTTCATTTTCTCTGAATCATTTACTTAATACCATAGCTATGTCATAAAAATGCTAGGCAATGAGGTCAGAGTGTTTGTTTTTCTGTTTCACCAAAACAGTAATACCAACACTTCTTAAGTTGTATTCATAGAACTATAAATGCACTAGCTGGACAACTTAATTTTGGCTCTTCGCATCTTTGTATTAACATGTACGCTAGACCATAAAAAGATCCTAACATTTACATATGAAATGTAAGTAACTATGTTGCTATTGATAACGTAAAAACTTCAATACCAAAACATTAGCTAGTCTAGTTTATTTAGATCACTGATAACCAGATTTAAAATATAAATAATCATTCTGAATGGATTCTTTAAACTCTAATGCTGGTATATAGCTATATATGCAAATCGTTTTTATCCATACTGTATGCATTTAACTAAAGATCTTGCTAGCTTCGATGTAATATGAATGTAAGAGATTTACATTTCAATCAGCATAAACCTTAAAAAGCCTTATCAATCCACATACACATACCTGGTACTCATTGTGTGGTTTCCTGTGTTTCAGTTACAGGCATATGTTTTAAGCACATAGTGATTCATGATATGCTTTTTCTAACTTAAATTTTACTCAAGTATCAGTAGGGGTGAATATTGAGGCCAAAAAAGCTTTCACGATAGTAATGTGATAGTAAAATTACTATTGTGATAATAAAATTACTGTTGCGATAGTCAAGTGACTATTGCACTACTATCATCATAGTTTTTTACCTTTAAAATATGCTTAAAATAAGTTTTCTAACCCTGAAATGAGCGAACTCAATATAAATGTAACAGAATGCTCATTTCAGCAAATACTAAAACTGATAAAAATATTTACAATTTTCATACTAACAAGTAGGTCCCACAAAGATATTTGTTACACTTTATTATAACATCATATTGATTTCATGCACAAACATGCTATTTTAAGATATTTGTTGTGAAAATCTGTATAGCTGGACTCAAGGCTATTATTTTCATATAAGCCTTAGTTTTACAATTTAAAAATCTTTATTTTCAAACTTGTTTTATGTTTTTAAAGGTGATTGATTTATTCAACAATGATCTAATTATTTGGTTTTGACAGTATGTTTGACGCACATCAAACATTGTTGGCAGATCCGTGTCAAAAAATATAATACAACTCTAGCAACTTAAGTCAGGATAATAGATCTATTTACCAAATAAAGGTGTCTGTAATTTCACAAACGGTAGTTTCAGATCACTTTTGTGAAACTTTGTCATTGATTTTCACGCAAAAATATGCTGTCCTAGCACTGTTTTTTGCCTTTTATTGGGAATGATTCTTAAAATGTTCTTACCTCCCCCTAATTAAATTTGGTCATTTCAAGGATAGATCTAAAACATGGACATGGACTTTGTAGATTTAATGAGATCATATTGGAAACAATAAAGGTTTAACACCTATTTAAGGTATAAACTCTCATCCATGTTACAACTTGTGCTTAAAATTCTATTTCCATTCCTTGTAGGTGAATGTACTTAGTGCTATCCCCGATTGCGGTCCCAAAGACACTTTTACAAATTAACGAAGGCTTGCAGCTGTTTGGCTTTAACTCGGTAAAATATCTTGCTTCACGTAGCATTTTCGTTTTGTTAAAAAAACTATCGTCAACAACTGATAGTTGAACATATTACAATAGGTATCTACTTGAAAATATGTTAACGACCTATTGCTGTCAACACCAAATCTTCCACAATACATCAATATTCTTCCTTTTAATATTTCAGCAATTCTTAAATTGCCTGTTAAAATATCACAGCATATTTCAGTTCTAGAAAGTGAATGTCTATGGTACAGTTTATTTCACATGTCCACACACTTTCACAACAAATTGTCACTCCCCATACAGTCATCCTCTGCCTGGTCTATGTATTATAAATGAGATCATGTGCACAAATATCCCAAACACTTGTAATGTAGATACTTGTCCTACATTTTACATGGATCAGGATAACACCATAGTATCAAATTAAAACTATCATCAGCTTGGATATCATATACTGTCTACAACACTGTTGTATTACACAGAAAATCTGTAACAAAACAGATTTAGATATAAATATGTTCCCTCTAAAGTACACACATATACCATTAAATGTCTAAATCTCGTGCTGCTTGCCTATAAGTTAGAGATGTCAATGTTATTTCCTTGGATAAGACTATTAGTATCTGTATAAATGACAGAGAATGTGGATGTGCAGTATAGTTTTACGTTGTTTTCAAGCTCATGATTTTATAGACCCTTCTTTAAGGATTAA